TGTATCACGAGTTTGAGTGATGAATGATGAAGATATTTTGATGTGTGGGTGCATAGGTCCTCGAAATCGATAGCATATTCTGCTTATTGCATATGTTATGAGAAGATATGAAAGAGTAAGAAGCAGTAAATGCCAAAGAGTATGAATTCCCATTCATAAGGCTGCAAGTAAAAACAAAATTTAATATAATGCACCTGCCCGAAATAGGTTTCGACTCAAATTTCTCAATTCTTTGGTGAAATTTATTTGAATGCCTCCAGTCTTCATCAAATCATTATGTCTGCAACTACTGAGAACTAGAATGTAATATGGCAGAATAAATGTAATGCATATTCTGTATTGTAATAATGTGCTTTCAGTGTTTTTGACATCGATCATCATCAATACAATGAGCTTTCCTGCTCCGGTTATATGATATATGATGTACTCGAAAAATCTCAGGCAGTTGCTACATCTTACACACGAATCTCCAACAATATTGAGTGGTTTCAGTATGTGTTTCTGTAAAACCTGATTAGGGTTAGAGCTGCAGCTAATGTGGAAAAATTCTGAGATGGCGGATAAAATTTGTAGCTCAGGTGGAGGATTTCGGTGTTGTTTGATGTTCTAAGCGCAAACTTCTGAAGTTTGTGCTGACGATGTTGTTCAGAAGAACAATGAAAGCTTCACAACCAAAATATCCAGCTCAGAGAGCGAAACACTTTAAAAAATTTCAAACATTTATTTTTTGTGTATGTGGTTCCTTCAGGTCCCTTTGTGATTTAGAGTGAACGGACTGGTATTAATCGCATTTCCGATGGTCTCTGATGTTCAGAAATATCTTCGTCCAATACTTGTTCAGTCGTGTAATTTTATTTGTCATTCTGTACGTTGGTAATTCCACAAACATTATAACCGGGCGATGCACCGAAGAAAATTTTAGCAATCTTACCTCAGTTGTTATAGGTATAAATGTTCTTGTACAGAACTAACTCAATATTTCGAGAGGAACGCACATTTTTACACTAGGATAACTTTCTTCCGTGTTTTGGATTTCACGGGTTTTGGGTGATTTAATCAAGGATGGGACATTTACTAGGTCAGAGATTCTTGCATAGTTAGCCCTTGATGCTACTTGTCTGTGACTAGTTTTCGGTGTTCTTCGTGGACGTGATGTTTTGTCTGATAGAATATTAACATCTCTGAAAGTCTGTTTTTGTCTGATTGTATTCTGTAAACTCAGAATTCACTTGCTTCTAAGATGTGTTGACTTTGAGTAGTATCAAGGAATTAAAGTTTTAGTCTTGTGCACAGGCGTGTTATGTGTGTTAGCTGCTAGCTTCTAGCTGCTTACACTTGTAGATTTTAAAGCATGGATGTCTAGAGTAATATGAACGATCGCGTTGTGGGATCACTGTATGATTTCAAAGACTACTGAAGCTGTATATTCTATGAAACCGATTGTGACATTCCTCCGTTCTGGAACTTCTGAGAGGTTGTGATTGATAAGAAACCAGGATGCACTTTCTTATGCAACCTGCATGGTTACGGCGACTTTAATAATCACCGTTTCCTCAGAGTTTCGTTAAGTTTTGAAAGAGAAATAACTGGCCTGAGAGGTCTGTTTCTGCATGACTTGGTTAATACAAGACTTTAAAGGTGTTCGAAATAGTATCGTATGTAGTATTAGACTAAGTAGTTTAGTTTCGCTAGACCCCAGAGTAAGGAGCTTTGAATGTTTTATAATGATAATAGTTTTTATTCTCAAATAGTGTGTTACATCCAGCATGCCAGCTTACATCATTGGAAGATGATAAGTAGCAGACTATTAGGGGAAAAAGTTGTGAAGTAGTAACTTGTGTGTCTAAAAGTGGAGTGCTGAAGGCAATCCCGTACTACTGTTGTTAGAACGGAAGTGGCGAAATATTGGACAGCAATGAAGATGACAAATGCAAGGTGAGGAAGTGATCGAAAAAATGTTGTAAAGGTATTTGTAAAAGAGAAAAATTGTAAATGTTCGACCAGCTTTTATCTGAAGATTTTAAAGAATACAATAAGGTCGGATGGGCGTCTTAAAGGATATAAGGTAAATGCGTAGGTGTGTATTAGATAAACAGAGTTTCTTCAAACGGTACTTGATAAAGGAATAATTTTTAGTAGTCGAAGTGAATATGATATCTGTAAAGTACTAAAAGTATGCAGTGGAAATCATTGAATATCTGTCGAAGTAACCAAAATCCTCTAAATATGAAATTTATCCCCAAGGTTTATTTTTGAGTGCGAGTGAAAAGACTGGAGATTGAAACCGTTTATCCACAATGGTTTTGAAAGTAGAACCTGCACAAGGTAAACAGGAAAATAGAGGGTAATAAGCTACTTTGTGCTCATCGTCAGGCTCGCCACTTTTGTGACTGCATTAATTTCAACGTCTGGTTCAGCACTTAAGTGGATGCGTTGAATTCGACGTGAGACACACTAAAATAATTGCCTAAATAATTGGCAAAGTTGGGAGACTCATAAGTAACTCGTGAAGAATGGATTAGTTAATTTGTTCGAAGTGTGGGAAAACTATCACAAGAGACTCAGGATAGGTTATGTCCAGTAAAACTAATGAGGTCAGCGACCATGTAGAAGAATTACAGAACTATTTATTCAATGTTATTTACCCATTGGAGTAGATGCATCTTGAAGGTGGTACAAGTTGTTTCTCAGGAGTCCTTCAAGAGCAAAACTAGACGGATTAATAATAATTCCTGACCGAATTTCACAATAATTCACTAATATTTATATTCTTTTCGTTAAATCTACTTGCTTTCTTATCCGAAAGCATCACTAGTTCCCTTTCGCCGAATACAGAAACCAATTAAGTGAAGGCTTCCTTACCGTGTACAATTATTTGATTCATTTTAACTTGGACGATGTCGACCATCCATCTTGCCAAAAGGTTTGAAGTCTGAACTAACGAATTAGAATTAAATTCAGGAAATATCCTTATACATATGGTAGGTTTCTTAAACTCCGAATACATGGTTATAATAAAATATGAGGATTTGAGATTTGTACAGGTGAACGCAGAGCTGAATCATCCCCAGTACAACCCTCGAGGTAATCCTTATAATTTGCACATAAAAGAGCAACTGCCCGGGTTCGTGCACATTTGTTCTCGTCAACAGTTGTTGCAACTTGGGGTGTCCTTCCAGCCGAGGTGACCACAGAACCCTCAGTGTATGGCTTCACGATGGGACTTGATAAACTCGTGCTCACATTAAGATTATCATCTTCCTCCCAGACCAGCTGTGCCTCGAGTAATTGTTGTCATTGAGACTTCCTAAGATCAATAACCTAATCTACATCACTTATCGCTTCTCCTTCCTTGCTTAAAATTCTATCCTCTCGCACAGTCATCATCAAGCAATTAACTTATCCATTCATTTCATTTACTTAGTTGTGAAATCTCACTAGCGCTGGAATCTTCTCTTTAATCTTCTCCACACTGCAACTGACTGATCTCCGGCCTGGTAACGTGATAACTGATGGTATCCAGAAACCCTATTGCCCCGAAACAAACTCACTCATTTAAATCATTGGACAAGCAAATTCACAAATAATTGCGAATCCACGAGAATTAGTGTAATCGAGTGGCTAGACTGATGCTTGTTGGACACTGTCGAATACTTGGAACTATAGCTAAATAAAAAGAATCGAGCACAAAGACATCAATTGGTTCATATTAACTCTTGAGTAGGATATTGGATATTGGATTGACCTCGGAAAGTATCTTTTGAGTACCGCCAGATTTATGAACTGTCTAATGGTGGAGGGTGTAACATCATGAGCTCACAGTCTTCTCTGAATGATATATCAAATGCTATAAGACAAGAAATTATACGATTCGAAAGTGTTCATCCAAATATTTACGCTATATACGACCTCATCGATGCAGTTGATGATAAAAACTTAGCAGAATCGTTGCGTCAGTTAGTTGTGTCAATCGAAGGTATAGTATTATCTGTCATTCTAAATTTTCGCTTTGTAGACGCATTTGTCAATAGTCAGGAGTGGACACTAAGTAACGGTGTTCCAGGTATAAAACTGGTAAGTACATTTTATATAATTGCATTGAATTTAAGGGCCTTCTTGGTTCTGTTCAAAGTGGGAAATCTGCCTTGGTACACCGGTATCTCACAGGAGCGTATGTCCACGACGAGTCCCCAGAAGGTGGAAGATTTAAAAAGGAACTGTCTTTGGACAATCAAAGTCACTTGCTTTTAATTCGAGACGAAGGTGGTCCGCCTGACATTCAGTTCAGTCACTGGGTCGATGGAGTTATATTTGTGTTTAGCCTAGAAAATATCGAAAGTTATCAGGTAGTCTATGACTACTATGCACGTCTTTCAACTTACAGGAGTACTGCTAGTCTACCAATAATTCTTGTCGGGACTCAAGGTACCATTCGCTCTTTGTTCTCACTTCCACAGATTCAAATTGTGAACCATATGTACGCGTAATAGATGATGCTCGTGCTCGGAAACTTGCAAATGATCTGAAGCGTTGTGCTTATTATGAAACATGTGCTGCTTATGGCCTAAATGTTGAACGTGTTTTCCAAGATGGTAATTGATATTCATACTAATTTCTTTCACAGCATGTCTAAAAATACTTCAATTGCGTGCTTCTAGTAATTCACCTGTCCCAAGGCCTGTCACACCTCAACTTTCTTCGAATTCTCAACAAAGACCGTGTGCTAATAGTCCTGTTGACTGTGTACCAATTGTTGGCATAAGTCAATCTCAACAGTCTTTGTTTTCGAATGTAGTGAATGCTCGTGAAGGTCCGCTCATAAAAAATCCTGTAAGTATATCAAAATTCAGTATATTTTGATTCATATTCAATTGTGAAGTTTTTAGTCATATCCCTATCTTCTAGCCATTAGATTCCTAATATAAATCTGTTAGCTCACTTGATCAAATTATACTGATATCAGTTATTGGACTTTGAGGATTTTTTTTTAAGTTGTTCAAGATGTGTAGCAATAAGTGATGAGAAAAACTGCTCTTACCTGCTTCTTTTCTATGACCATTGGTATATGCTGACATCGATCTTTCGTAATCTAGATTATTTTATTTTGATAACAATCACATCAAAATCTTATCACAGACAAATTTAATTTCAGACTTTATTTTTTCGTAGCATAAGTTACTGTTGTAGAAAGATACTACTGATTTATTTACAAATGGGTCTGTTAGGTGTAACTGGTTTGACAATAAAATTACCTATCTAAAGAAAAATGTTAAGAAAACGGTTTAATTGTTTTGTCCACGCTTTAGTCATGCTGTAATTCTAGAGATTCATTAAACACTGTGTTGTGTAATAGCTTTTACTCCGTGTAATAATAATAATCTAGAGACCCCAAGTTTTCAGGTCGATTTAAAGACCTTCCACATAACGCTTATGGTTCAAACATCTTGTCTCCCCGAACATAGCTGTATTCATCCCTACTATTATTTTCCAGAATGAACTTAATGGTCATTATTACTTCGTTTAGGATGTAAATACAGCCAGCTAATTTGATTTTTATGGATGTGCTCTATGATAAGCTAACGTTATTTCCCTTTTCTTTTTATCCTACACATATCTAAACAAGTTTCCCTTGATATCACACCGCCTAGCATTATATTTTTGAAAGGATCGACTACTAATTTCTCTCGTTTTCAGAACTAGCCGATTTCATTGTGACATGTCGCACAGTAATTTTTGTACTAGTGGTTAATTAGGTAACATGGCTCCTAATCACAATTCAGTTGGTTCACCATGAGGTTAAGCTATGCAGTGACTAAAGAGTATCGCCGGCGATTTGACTTGAATTTGTTATTTTGTGCCCGTAAAATAATGTATTTAATTGATAGATTTCATTCTGATTACGTGACAGTTCTATCAGCTAACATAAGTTCTTTGACATACTTTCTTTAGAGTAGAGGTCTGATGATAGTTGGTTGCACTCATTACTTATCACAGTTTCTGATGAACATGAGTAGCATGCTAGTCACAGTGTGTAGATCTATATTACTGTCTTCCAAAATACAATAGAATAAACTTGGAAAAGAAGTGGAAATATGAGAATTCGATTTTCATAGCACTGTATTCCTAGTTGTCAGTAAATATGAAAATAATTTAAAGTAGCATAAACAACCAAAACCAAATTACATACAGCTAATTTCGTCACTAATTAGTTATCTGGATCTTACATTAAACTAGCTTACCGGTTAAATTATTTGATTTTTGACTACTTTACTATGTCCCTAAACTAGTCAACGCTTTTATGGGTTCCAGTAGTTAGGTAATGTCCTCAGTCCTCACAAAAATTTGACTCACAGACAGGTAAACAAGCCTATACTTCATTAACGGGTTGCGCTAACAAATTGTTTCATTATAATCATCAAAAGTTTCTTTGTTCCATTGATTCATTTGTTAAAGAACTAGTTTATACGTAGTGAATGAGTTGTAAATGAATGTTAATCTTCAAATTGTAGCTTGCAGGAATTCTTAATTGCCTTAGTTGGTTTTAAATTAATATTTTATCAAAGTCAGAATCAACGTTTAACTGTAAATGTAACTTCAGAACAAGTGCCAGTTGACTTCAAAATAATGTAAAACAGTGAAACATCGTTTGTCTTAATTGCAGAGGATCATTCCTTTGTTTACTGATACATCGAAATCATAGTTACCATTCCGGGTTAACACTGTGAACGCCTTTGTATTCTTATCAGATATTCGCTTGTTTCAAATAACGATTTTTTCGGTTTGGCATATTGACAGATGTGGTTTATTCAAAATGCAAGTGGCACTTCTTGTCATTCATTTTTTTCGCTTCCTGATCCTTTAAAGGCGAAATTCGATTACAGTCGCCTGTCAATTAATTCTGTATTAATTTTCTTAAAAGTTGTTTTTCTGACTCCTTTTAAGTTTGCTATCTTACTTCAAATAAATTGTCCAAAGGAATTTCAAGGAAATTTTTGTAAGGAGTAACCAATTAAAAAAGAGCTATGTAAAGTTTATTAGCAAGCGAAGAATTCTTTCACGTGATTCATGGCATTCTTAGTAATACAAAGCTATAATACTTTCTATAGTACTGCTCCCTTTCGTTCTAATGTATGCTAAGTCAATATCAGGATCACTAAAATAGTGCAAGAAAACTAGGGGATAATTAGTTAGGTTACTAAGAAGCTTGTATGGATTATTGGTTCTCAAATGGAAGTAAAGCCTGCCTACCAGTGTGCTCTCTGCTGAGAGGTTTATGTTTATTAGCCACCTAGATGCAAGTATAATTGCTTAGTTAAAAAGCTTTTACTCGTATGATTTTTAAAACTGTGTAACTTCGTTTTTATAGGGACACATAACTCAGATCAATGGTTAAACTCTATGACAATATGTCATAACACTATCGATTGAGTCTAGTTTTTCCACGTCATTGAGTGATTTTTTTATTACTTCAGTGGTATTGTGGAATTACACGTGACTACAACAAATGTTCCTGTCTAATTTCATTATTATGTTGTTTGTTTAACATTTAATGGTTAGTTGAATCCATGAAATGTCTTCATATACACCTGGATTATCGCTCATAAATATCAAACTTTATGAATAATAATTTCATCCAACTTCTTACAGTCATACCGGCATAAATGTAGTCATTCATTCTCTTTATTTAAATTTCAAGTGTAGTCTTGTCACATTTTATTCTTTGATCCCAATTATTTTTTTTCAATGCATATTTCCCATATTTAGTCTTCCACCGGTATGATAATTTCGTCTTTATTTTTCTTATCGTAAGCTTACCCTCTTCTTCACTTGCGAATATAAAGTGTGTAGATAGACTGTTGTTCATGATTGAGTGAATGAAAATCATGTGTTTGCATGCAATGGTTGTTTAGTAGTTGATCTTGTTGAAACATAAATCATAACAGATGGTATTTTATGTTAAAACGTATGTTTAAGAAATGTCTGGCCTATAGTAAAGTTACTAGTGTGGTGGATTGCTTTATGTTTTTCTTTTCTAGTGGTTTAAATATTAGAAATTCTACTCGGATGTTCATTTCGCCAGTATAAAGCGCGAAAAATGCTTTGACTAAGTGTAGATTTCAACAAAAATTACCTGTTATTATGTTTGGCGATTCTATTTTGTTCTCAGGATCTTGACCTTTTTTTTAACCAATGCATAAGTTCATTATACAGAGTTTTTAGTGATAATTGTCAGGTTATAGTTATAAGTAATTTTGATGAACAGAGCTGAAAAACTAAGAATTTTTAATTATTTCCAGTTATTTCTATGATATTCAACTTTCCTATGATCAGTTACTTTGCCATATGTTCATTTGTATATATAGCAATTGAACCTTTTCATCTATCTCTTCTCCATAGGCATTTTATTGATTACATAATAATTGTATATCAATAACTAAAAACTAACTATCTTACAATAACAGTCCAAAGTGTACATTTTACTACAGGTTATCAGGTCTAGTTTCTTTGTTTTAATTCCAGGGGATTAACTGTAATGTAACTAGTTCAGCTACAAGCGGTATCGATAGGAAAGAACGATCGGCGTTTCCCAATAATCCTTCCAATCGTCGTCCAGATACTCACAGCAATCCTGGATTTGAACTTGATTTCAATGAAGTAATAACTAAATCGTTTTTTTTATATCACTCATACTGTCAAGAAAGTTCTTCAAATGTAACATTTTGCAACATAACTATTCGTACAGAAATAAATTAACTATGAATACACCATAAATCTAACTGGTTGATCGTATGTAAACTAGTCTAATATATACAACCACGTACAATAAAAACAGACACTGACTCGCAAACTATAATTAATATTTGTAGTCTTCTCACCTGAACGTTGAAAGCTGCATCGCTGATACACCTATCAATCAGTGTTCAGTTGCAGATATTTCTCTGTAAACCTAAATCAGTTTGTTTGCCATGTTTTACTATGCTGAAGTAAACACCAACTGTAAACGTTATTAGTGTTTTACGGTCCATTATTCTATCGTTAATCACAAAATTTAAAATCCTAATCAAATCCAAATCTGTTGTTTCTAGGTCCAACGTTCCATTAACATTTATTTCCCCTTCAAAATTACCGAACTATAATAGTTCTATTTGGATTTTAGTGTGACTTTCACTAAGTTTCAATGAAGTAGTATTCTATAGTTCTGTTTTGTTAACTGTTTATTTCACAATTGTGGGTAACTTTAGAATACTTGAATACACACCAAGGACCTTATTGTCATGTTTTGAAACCAACATACTGCTCCAAATTTTTATTTTACAAAGTAATCATTAATTACGTATGTTACCCTTCGTGGAGCATATGCTGCATACTGGGATTCTCCAACCAACTCTGTTCTGGGCTCCCTATTCCAGTTGTTGTGTACTGTTCATTCTTCTGATATCTGCCTCCGATTCTCTGCTCAATATGTTTGATTTTCCTTTCCGCCTTTTATCCTAAGGATTCTATATGAAGATTTGTCTTACCACGCAGTTTGAGGATTTCCGCAATATGTGTCCTATCCACTTCCAGGTCTTTTTCACAACTTCCTCAACTGGAAGCTGGTTTTTTCTCATCGACCGTAGGTTGTTGCCGATAGAATTTGCATCGAAACTTCTGATTGGTGTTAGCCGGAAGTTATTTTGAGTTCCAGATGTTCGTCAACTGTAGAAGTGTTGCTCTGCATCAGATCCACCTAGTTTATCAAAAATGCAGACCAGATATGTAAAAGATTTCACCACATCTCAAAGCTTCTTCGTCATGTGTGATTTGGTCGATGCTTTCTGTGTTGAATCGGAAGATCTTACTTTTTTCTTTGTTTGTATTGTGGCTTATTGCTACAGGGGTTGCTGCTAAACCGGCTGTCTCCTGCATTTGTTGCTGTGTCTGAGTTAAAAGGTCTAGGTCATATGCAATGTCCAAGTCGTCTAGCTGCATCTTTGTTGTCTACTGTATTCTTTTTCTCCTGAGATTTTGAGGTTTCATCAATCCAGTCAATCACCGAGAACAAAGTAATCATGGTTTTTTTATATTCCCGATTCACCAGTTACCGTTATATTAGGGAATCTTACGCCATGCCACCCCAAATGAAGTTTGGATTCAGGTTTGACAATTTTTCCTAAATTTAGTATTAGTTAGTAAAGTAATTATTACTTTACGTAAAAACTTTGAAACAAGTTTCTGTAACAAATACTTTATTCTACTATCTCTTAGGATTCTGGTTTACACCAAACTCTTGTACATCCTACCAAACCTAATGTACTTAGCATTGCAAAGCACTCTTTAACATTGGATTTCCGACCATCTGAGCGCGATAATTTCTTTGCTGATGTCAAACCTATTCGAGCTAATATTCCTACTACTGATCCAGCCGATGATTGGGCTACTCATCCATTTCTACTTGACGAAAGACATCAGCATCCTTTATTCCGTTGTCCAGATTACTTACCAACTGAGTATTCTGAAAGTATATTTCAGTCTCATTCTCCTCATGTCTACTCAGAATATAGCAACAAAATTTCACATCCACCTAGTACTTCGTCGGAAAATGGCGTTTCTACACCACAACCACTTCCTATACCTGCAGCTTCCACTGTCGGCTACTCTCCATTTATTGTCTCTGCAAACCTTCCATCAGGTACTCTTGCTGCTGCCAGTAGTGTATCTTCTATTGGGCTAGGAGTTGAAGCAGTAAGTTTAGTCACAGGAAAGGCATGCGCATCTTCCTCCCCCCGTACTTGCACGTTTATCACTTGGTTGAAAGTAATGAAATTACTTCAAAAACTAACTGCTGTCCAGCATCTACTTACTAAATAATTGCTTGCCTCCTTTCTAGCATGATTCATTAATGAATACTCATCATTATAAAGCTCTTCTTTTAAAGTCTCCCCCCATAAACAAATTTAACTCTATCAATTTGCACAGTATTATTATATTAATAAAGTTGCACATCTAACAGACTATTTTTTTTGTTCACTGTGCGAAGAAATCTTTGAATATTTTTCTCTTTCTAATTTAGGAAAGTAAGGCTGACAATAATGAATCTCTTACTCCTAGCAGTACTCCAACACATTCACGAAAGAATAGACGAAAATCCAATTTATTTGTAAGCTGATTTTAAACTGCACAAGATTTATTTTTCTATACATAATTTGTGGCGCTATATATATATATATATATATATATATATATATATATATATATATATATATATATGGGCAGTCAGTTGTAACATCTCATATTGTAGTGAACGAGAACACAGGTGGGGAAACCGAATTGTATTTAACGAAAATTACAGAGTTACTCAGTAAAATCGGAAAACCATATCGAAAATCGTTAATTTGCAAAATATCAGTTCATCATATCGAACTGGACTGTTCCTGTTGCAAAACATCAATCCATTGTCACTATTCATGCGTTTCATACAAATTCCATTGTGTTCTAACTCTTCCTTTCTTGATCTTCCCCCATCTTCTGCTGCCAGACATTACGTTGACATTCACATCATATACTACTTATAAGTAGCTCGCACCACAATATCACTATGCTTTGTTTGGCATATTACATTCTTCATTGTACCGAAAAAAAATTCCAGCTAACTAGAAATCATAATAATGACTATAATGTAGGCTGTTTTATTCACCTCCTCCTTATCCTGTCTTTCTCTCACACACCCTCTCTCTTCCTAGTGTTCGTGTACTGTTAAATTCTAAGCTTACTTAACATTGATTTCTTTATAATAATTTGATTTGATTTTGACCAATTTGGTCTCGTGTGCTGTTACGGGTATGAGGGCGGTTATCACTTCTCGGCTGCCCACACCGTGGAAGGTTGTTTCTTGAGGGACCTGAAAAGGAAGATAGATTAGTGTTGGTCTTGGAGACCTGGGTGCGTGACCGCAGAGTCCAAGGGACAACTGCTTGAGGCCGGTCACGCACGGCCTTATTATGAAAGGTCTTTTGAGTATTAGCTCCGCTCTTTTAAAGCCCTTAGTGGGCACCCTTACCGACGGAGACGGAAATCCGGAAGGTAGGGTGTGGTGTGACATTTTTAGGGTCGACCTTTTCTAACCCTTCATTCCTTGTGAGAAGGCAGCATCGCTGCAGATGCTGGTTGTCCGAGGGAACAACTAACTGCTCTCATTCCCTTCTGCAGTCAGCAGATGGACTTCGCCCTCAGACCCTGCTTTTAGTCTCATCGTTCTCCAATCGACCTGCCTGGCTTGGTAGAACCTTGAGGAACAAAAGTTCCAGCCAATATAGCCCGGTTGGGTGATCACGATAGGCAAGCCCGACCACCACGTCAAGGTAGCAACTATGGTCTGATTTCTTTATATTTTTCCACATATTAATCTAATTCAATTAAAAGAAAGAAAAATAATAATAATAATTTGTTTATAATATTTAAATCAGCTAGCTAGCTACATTCCATCTATGTGAATGAATCATCATCATCATCAGATTAACATTTTCATTGTTCTTTCTTTTTTTTTTCGTTGAAAAATAGTTTCAACGACTTCATCATTATCATATAATAATTAGTTGTTATTTTCTTTCCTTAAAGTTTTTTTATTTTTCGTTCATATTTTCATTGTTTCAGTTAGACAAAAATAGGCATATTCATCATTGATTATTATTTGATTAGCTAGAGTATAAATGAATGAAAGATTGTTGTTATTGTTGTTTCATAAAAAAAACTTGATCATTAGACAGACGTATTTAATATTTTTTAATTATTGAAAAAAAACATTTATTACTAATTTCAATCATCAGTTGATTATTGTACATTAGATTGATGAGATCTTAAATGTCATACTTACTTGTAGTCATTTGTGTTTTTAGGTTTTTGGGTTTGAGAGAGCTAACTAGTGATAGATACTGTTTGACTTTGTAAGCTAGGTGCGGCCAAACTAGAACATGACACAAATCTGTGAAGTTACTGAGTCATGTTGGTGGATGTAGACTCATTATCATCATCATCAACAGCAACGTAGAACTTTGTACGTAAGTACAACAGTTCAAGTTGCCATAACACATTAGCTCAGAGATATAATTGTCAATTCAAGTTCCATAGTAGTAGAGGTAGTAAAAGTATTATAAGTAATCGGAGAGATTAGGGTTCGAAGATGTTATTCAAAAAGTATAATTCAGTGTGATGTAAAGAGATTGGATGTAGACTTCCTGGTTTAGGTCCGCGAAACGATACAAACCGATGGTTAGAGACCTTAAATGACATGGCTCAAAATCGTTTGCAATGGCACAGGTGCATCAATTATTTGTGTTCTATGAAATTCTAACCTCTGAATTCCTCATCACCTCTATCTCACTGAATTATACTTCTTGAATAATATCTTCGAACCATAATCTTCTCTATTACCGCTAATAATTCTATTATCTCTAACACTGGGATTTGAACTGACAATTGCGTCTCTTTGTTAATGTGCTATAACTACTTGAATTGATGTACTTATGTACGAAGTTCTACGTTGTATCCGTCTGACTGACTGTTTGGCTTTCAAAACAGGAATAAAATGAAACAGCGCTTAAATATATTATGGTCAAACATCCATCATTGCGTTAGTTTACGTATTCATTCAACATATGCAATATAAACATTTTATTGTTTTGTATTCTAGTTTCATACTTAATTGATCAGGTTTTTTTTGTACACACCTGGGATATACACCTTCATTACACATCACATCTTCTTAGTATTGTAAATAAAATTGCTTGTTTAATTTAATTGCTTGTCAGTATAGTAGGCGGTTTCAAGCTGATGTCGTACATTAGACATAATAATAACTTAGAACATGAAACTTTCGACTATTGAATTACTGATTAGCATGAGATCAAATGTTAATGAATTTGTTTTTAGACGAACAGTTAGTCGTTATTAGCCTTCAGTTTTTAAAAAAAAAGTAGATATACACACCATACTCTATTTGGTTGCCACTGTATGTAGTAAATATCTTATTACCTAGAAATAGTTGACAGTTTTGTTTTGTTTTGTTTTTAATTTCTTTTCAATTGAAACCATTGAATAATTGTTCAATATTCAATACATCATTCATGTATTTTGGCATGTTAAATTTTTTATTTTCTTTTTGAAAACCTACTTATTCATGAACATTTGGTGTGGTGTCTCACTTATTACCCTATTTCATGTCATCTGCATTTACAAATTGTATAGCGTTACAATTTTTTTTATCTTCTGTTTGTTGTCTTTCATTCATGATGTGTTTGGTCATTCATTCATGCTGAGTTTAATTTTGAGTTAATAACGTATGTACTGTATCGTTTAGATTTTTTTCATTTTTTTCTTTCTCGCCTTGAAACATTTAACAAAAAAAATCATTCAACTTTTGTTGAACGAACAATGAACTAATTAAGATAACGACTATTGTTTTATTGATGTCATTAAAGTTTATTCTGATTGGTTGAACGGATTAATAGAATATGACTATGTTCTGTTGATCAGTAAGGATTGAATACGCACACTTGTTATATTTGTAATATAGCTCGACGAGGCAGTCGGTGGTTAGGCATACGCAACACATCAGTTGAGGTAATCGGGACATGTGTTACTTATGTCTATCCACCGACTGCCTCGTCTAGGTATGTTTTATGACGAAGGAATAGGTTGGACGAAAGCTAGTGGTGGCCAGACCAAAAGATGGCAGAAATCCATGAAATCATTGACAAGTGGTCTGAATCATGTCGGTAGGTGTCGACTACCTAGTTGGGGTCCGTGAGATGATAGTAATGGATGGTTAGAGGCCTTGAATGACGTGGCTCAAAATCGTTTGCAATGGCGCAGGCGCATTCATCTTTTGTGTTCTCTCAAATCGTAAACTTTTTAATTCCTCATCAATTTATCTTTTACTTTTTAAGTTAATTTCACTGCACTATACTTTTTGAATAATATGTTCCACCACTATGGGATTTGAATTCACGATTGCGTCTATGTGCTAATATGGTATGGCAACCTGAACTGATGTATTTATGTACGTTCTACGTTGCTGTTGATTGATATATTTGTAGCCTGACTAAGTACTTCTGGATCCATAGGTATAAGATAATAAAATTGGATTCCATGAGCTAGGTGATTTAATCTTTAAGCTTTCATTATCCTTTTAGTTAGTTAGTTTGATCAGCACCAGTTTCGAGTAAACAATGCCTAGAAATATATGTCAATCATTTGTGGAGTAATTCTCTTTGCTCACTTCCAAGCTGAAATGTATGCTGTAGATATCTAGGGAACCAAAGAAAATTTTACGATTAAATTCCCATCTCGGAAAACGCAATTTCAAAAGAATTTATCATTTTGATCCTATAAATTAATTACAATTCAATAACTATGGAGTACAAATTCATATTGTTTTTTTTCGAATTACACTTCTTCAACACAAATAAGCAGGAATAATAATAATAATAACTGATTGTTTAAACCGGAATTAGATGAAGCACGATGTTTGAATGCTAATCTTCTGAATTCTTCGTGACCGTTGTTTCTCTTAAATTTATTTCATTAGATTATACTTCTTGGATAATATCTTCAAAACCTTATCTTCTCTTTTACTGCTAATACTGCTACTATCCATCTGTTTGCTACTGTGGTATGAAAACTTGACGTGATGTACGTACATATAAAGTTTAACGTTCTAGCTGACTGACTAGATACTTGAATGTGCGATACAGTAGTTATCGTAACGATCATTGAATTAAATAATTCCACTTTTCAACCAAAATATATCTATTTAATTGCAACTAAAACAAAATATATTTTCCTTTGATTTCTTCATTCAGTATTTAAGCTGATTTTTAAAATTTGTCACAAACGATTAGATTAACTACTGTTTCATGATTAAACAAATTTATCACAACATTTTTCAGAAAGCGTGACTTCTTTAGAAAAAATTTAAACAATATTATTCAAATTTCAATTTTGTGATTAATGATAGACTTTATAGCTTTTGGCGCATTTTTTTATATGGTTAGCAGTAGATTACAAGACATGCGTTTCGTCCTGTTCACAATTCATCACCTTTATGTATTAGCATTCAAGTGTTGCTAATCGGATTGATACTCAAACCCAACACCCTTAGCTGCAAACATTAGTGCTTTATTCAATGCTGTTCTGAGTTCAGCTAGCCATGAACATGTTCAAATTTTATGACATAACCCTCAGGACATATATGTCATCAGTTTAAGACAGACAGATACAACACAGAACTTCGTACGTATGTACATCAGTTCAGGTCGCCATACCGAATTAGCACATAGAAGCAACTGTCAGTTCAAATCCAATAGTGGAAGAGATAGTAGAAGTATTAGCAGTAATGGAGATTAAGGTATAATTCTGTGAGATAAAGTTAGAAAGAGAAAGTTAGAGATTATGAAGAATTTGGAAGATTAGAATTTCAGAGAACACAATGAATGAATGCACCTGCGCCATTGCAAACGACTCTGAGCCATGTCGTTCAAGGTCTCTAACCATCGATGACTTTCTCGTGGACCCCAACCAGGTAGTCTAGATCTACCAACATTACTCAGTCCACTTTTCAGTAATTAAATGGAGTGATTAGAGTTAACTCATCTATTAAGTACAGATTCATCAACTGGCTTCGAGTCAGTTTAAAATACCGATAAAATGAAATAACATATCCAATACTAACACTTTCATCCTCGTTGAACATGTTATTGGCTATTTGCATTCAGTAGCTCAGTGAATTACACGTAATTTGAATCGATATTTACAAAGTTTGAGTTTCAATTTTGAAATGATCACAAATTTGACAATACACGCAGATAATCAGTACCGAATAGAATAAAACTCACTAGATCTCAATACAACTTTGATCGAATCTACTCAAGGAAACACATATATACCAGTGGATATTGATCGTTTAAAGTTTTTAACATCCAAAAAAGAATCAAAAAATACAAGCACTTACTAACATGATTATCACTTGTTTCTTTACTGTTGAATTATGTGTATTTTAATCCATTGAGCCGTATCTCTATAATGAATCAAATCATTTTTTGACTATAATTTTCTTTGTTGATTCTTAATTTTAGCAAAAACGTAATGAAGATGAACGTGAAAGAGAGAAAAAATTGAATGGAATAGGTAGTGGACGTGCAATCCCATTAAAACAGGTGAGTGTTTCGCTTAGTAATTATTTTGATGAAAATAATTTTCCTGTCGAGTATAATATAATTGTTATAAACTATTTATTGGTAACAGAATTCATTGTTTTAGTTGTAAGTATGCTGTCTGTCAATAGTCAAAATTACTTATGCCAATCTGTGTCATCTTGATCATCTTCGTGGTGTGTTAGTCTGGTGATAAATAGTCGTAATTTGCAGTTCGTCAGTCGAAACACTACTGCTCTATAATTTTGAAACGTGACCTTTCCCGAGTTGTGGATGTTAAACAACATTCTGTGTTTGGTCGTTATTGTCTTCAAAATATTATTGACATTCAGTGCCAACAATTAATTAGTGATGCGGAAGTTCAGTAATCTGTATTTGGACACCTTGGAGATAATTCATTTGGATCTATCATCTTGAAACACTAGGTTTTATGGTTCGGACTAATACTACGATTCTCATCCCAGTAAATTCCATATCGTGCATTACCTGCCAACTCTGAGACTGGTTGGAAAAGCTAGAGGTGGTTAGTATCGTTTTAAAGAAAGCTGAACAGGAATGGTATCTGTTAGAGTCCTTCACGACTTCCTGTTTGGAGTGCTTGAAATGGTGGTCTTGTTGTAATTTTACTTTACTTTGTTCATATAAGTGAGAGGTGTAGTGAAGGAGAACACAGGTGGGGCAACCGAATTGTATTTAACGAAAATTACAGAGTTACTCAGTAAAATCGGAAAACCATATCGTAAACGGTTGATTTGCAAATCTTCAATCCATCATCAATCCATTGTCTGACATTTCACTACTGTTCATGCGTTTCACACAAATTCCATTGTGTTCCCACTCTTCCTTTCTTGATCTTCCCCCATCTTCTGCTGCCAGACATTACGTTTACACTCACGTCATATACTACTTATAAGTAGCGCGCACCACAGAGGAACCTCGTTAACTGGTTGTGCTTTCCTTAGTTGAACGGTTTTTATTTATTCACTCACATCCACTAATTTCCGTTTATTGATTTATTTAATGATTTTCATTGTTTTGATATACTAACCTTTCTTTCTCTATCGCTTCACAATCTCACTTTTTTATGTGTTGCACAAACTGGTCATCAGCTTAAACTGTCATATTTCTTACATCATCTATTTACTACAAAAATGTTTGAAAATAATTTATCAAACTTATACATTACTAGCCTTAAAGACTAACCATTACGTTAGATTGTTCAAATCTCATTCCACGTAATTCAATTTCATTAGCTAATGAGGATCACTAAACAATTCGATTCAAAATTAAGTGAGTAGACATGTTAGTCAGTCGGTTGATCTCGTGTGTTGTTATGGGTATGATGGCAAGTGTCACTTACCGGCTACCCGCACCGTAGAGGGGTGTTCCTTGAGGAACTTGAAGAGGAAGTTAGGTTAGTGTTGATGTTAGCGGCCTAGGAACGTGACCGCAGAGCCCAAGGTTGGTCACACATGGCCTTTCTCTGTGGAGTTTTAAAGGTGTTTGCTCCGCCCTGCAAGTGGCCTTACCACTCTTGACGGAAATCCCTGGGTTAAGGTGTGGTGTGACTTTTTTAGGGTCTACCTTTTCTAACCCCTTCCTTTCCTGTGGCAACGCAGCATCGTTGCAGATGCTGGTTGCCCGAAGGAAACACCTTAAGGCTGTCACGTCCGTCTACAGCCAGCAGTACTACTTGGCCCTCAGACCTTAAGTTGCTGCTCCTTAGTCTTACCATTCTCCAATCGACTTGCTTGGCATGGTAAGACCTAAAGGAACAAATGTTCCAGTTGATATAGCCAGGTCGAGTCATCACGATAAGCAAACCTGACCACCAGTCAGTCAGTCAGTCAGATGCAACGTAGAACTTCGTACGTAAGTACATCAGTTCATGTTGCCATACCACCACGTTTAAGTAGCAGCTACGGTCTTGTAGTAAGCATGTATACTTGGCTAAAGATTCATAATACTTTTCAATCGAAATGATTGTTTCATTTAATCAAATACGAAATAAAATCATCTCAGCTTCTATATATATTCTATTCGGTTCATATATAACAAATATTTATTGCTTATTATAAATATATATATTCCTATGTCATACATACATCATCAGATAAACCGTTATATATATATTTTTTCCAAACGTTATTATCATGCGTATTTTTGTGCTGAGGTTTATCAAACAGGATCATCAGTAGTAGCATAAAAATAAAAAATAACTCAAGTAATCTACTCGTCTTAGATTAGATTAAAGCACAGCATAAAATGCCTTGTGTTTGACGTTTTTTTTAACAGATAAAATAGAGAGAGATTTCTTATTTTATGTATTGTTTTCCCCTATCCTAACTCCCCCCCACCGTGTCAATAAACTCGTGACTGAATAATAATTAGAAAAAAAAACATAATTCGAATATAATTTTTTTTATTTTGTTTATTTATTGTTACTGTTGCTGTGAAAACTAAACTCGAATGGGCTTAAAGACTTAGGCGTTGTTTATTTATGTGTGTGTGTGTTTGGGTGTATGGCTGCTGTGGAAAATATCAGTGATATTGATCATTTTCAACAATGAAAACTGGAACTGAGTTTTAATTTGTCTGACACAGTCGCCATGAAACTTGAAAAAAAGTACATTTTTTCCCGAAATTGATTAATTTTTTTTGTAAAGTATAATCTAAATAATGAGATTTGTACAAAATGAAAGCAGAGCATTGCAATTATTGGGTGTAATTATTATGGTTTACAGAAATGGACCTTATTCAATCAGTCGATTGTTTATTAAAGTTAACATTTTCTTTTTTAATTGTTGAAGTTTATGAAGATTGGCTTTCATGTCATCATGTTTGAATAGTGTATAAGTGTAAAGGTTCCAGTTATTAACTTCATTGAATTATTTCATTTGATGCCACTCTTCTCTTGTTGAGTAGTTTTTTAATACTTACACAGATCTCTATACATTACTAGTCTTCGATCATCGATGTCTCCGAAGCATTGCTCGTGTATCATGGGACAGCTGTATAAGCAATGCTGTCGTTAAGAAACGAGTTGTAGGTAGGGATTGCAGATCAGTAGATGAAGTGGTGAAACTTCATCAGTTGAGGTGGTTGGAACATGTGTTACGAATGCCTAACCATCGACTGCCTCGACGAGCAATGTTTTGTGGTGTAGGAGTAAGTTGGCAGAAAGTTAGTGGCGGCCAGACCAAAACATGGCACAAATCCATGAAATTACTGACGAGTGGACTGAGTCATGTTGATAGATGTAGACTACCTGGTTGGGGTCCGCGAGACGAAAGTCACCAATGGTTAGAGACCTTGAACGACATGGCTGAGAATCGTTTGCAATGGCGCAGGTGCATCCACTCTTTGTGTTCTATGAAATTCTAAGCTTCTGCATTCCTCATAATCTCTACCTTTCTCCTTCTAAATTTATCTTACTGAATTATACTTTTCGAGTCATATCTTTGCTCCGTAATCTTCTTCATTACTGCTAATACTTCTATTATTGTTATCACTATTGGATTTGAACTGACACTTGCGTTTCTGTGCTAATGTGGTATGGCAACCTGAACTGATGTACGTACGTACGAAATTCTGCGTTATATCTGTCTGTCTGTCTCTATACATTGGTTGGTTTATCTTGTAGAATATATCTTGTGGTTTCATAAATTCATTCTTGTCAAGTCATATTCTTATTGAATGTTAGATCTTTTTTTGTTGTTATGACTAATACTACTAGTACTACTACTGCTACTGTAGTGAACGAGAACAAAGGTGGGGCAACCGGATTGTATTTAATGAGAATTATACAGTTACTCAGCAAAATCGGAAAACCATATCGTAAATCGTTAATTTGCAAAATATCAGTTCATCATATCGAACTGGACAGTTCCTGTTGCAAAACATCAATCCATTGTCACTGTTCATGCGTTTCATACAAATTCCATTGTGTTCTAACTCTTTCTTTCTTACTCTTCCCCCATCTTCTGCTGCCAGACATTATGTTGACACTCACGTCATATACTACTTATAAGTAGCTCGCACCACACTACTACTACTCCATTACACATTATGGTAATTTCATCTTGCTTTAGTGTGTTGTAACTTGGGATAATGTATGTAAGTGTGCTGGTTTTTGATGTTTCTTCTGACTGATTGACTGACTGGTGAAGTTATATTGACCAGCAAGTGTTGTCATAAACTCATTTTTGGTTTGATGATTACTTCTCCGAGTGTCTGTACCATTATTATTCAACACAATAAATTAATTATTTTTTTATTGTGTTGTTTTAATAATCACGGAGAAAATATCATTTAACTGTTCACTTAGTTATGCATTTCAAAACATATTCTTTAAAATGACAAGTTATTCAAAACACAACTACTAAAAACGATCATTGTTGCGAAGACATACACTTGATTGCAGATACAGAAATACTTAATATCCTAATATCTTTTCATTTTCAACATATGACTGAATTTGTATAAATTCTCTAAAACAAATCCATTATTCAGTCAGTCAGATGCAACGTAGAACTTCGTACGTAAGTACATCAGTTCATGTTGTCATACCACATCAGCACAGAGATATAATTGTCAATTCAAATCCAATAGTAGAAGAGGTAGTAAAGGTATTAGAAGTAGTCGGAGGGGTTAGGATTAGAAGATATGATTCAAGAAGTATGATTCAATGAGAAAAGTTTAGAAAGACAAAACTAGAAAGGTTGAAGAATCCAGAAGATTAGAATTTGAGAGAACACAAAGAATAAATGCACTGGCGCCATTGCGAACGGTTTTGAGCCATGTAGTTCAAGGTATCTAACCATCGATTATTATCATCTCGTGGACCCCAACCAGGTAGTCGACAATTACCGACATGGCTAAGTCCACTCGTCAATGACTTCATGGATTTCTGCCATGTTTTGGTTTGGCCGCCCCTTTCTTCGAACCTATTCCTACACTAAAAAACAGAGCTCGTCGAGGCAGTCAGTGGTTAGGCATACGTAACACATGTCCCAACCACCTCAACTGATGAAGTTTCACCACTTCATCTATTGATCTGCCATTCTTACCTAGCACGCGATTCCTAATAACAGCGTTGCTCACTCGGGTGTCCCAGGATATACGAGCAATGCTTCAATGACACCTACGATTGAAAACCAATAACCGACGAATATCTTCTACTCTCACTGGCCATGTTTCACAGCCATAAACTTAGACGGAGCGAACTACTGCACAGTACACTCGTCCTTTAGTCATCTCAAACGGATATCTCGCCTACGCCGTAAGTGGTGCAGGTTGGCAAAAGCCAGTTGAGCCTTCTGTATCCGAGTTGAGATTTCGTCAGTCACCAAGCAAATCGGGAAATCGATTATTACCCTCCAATATATATGTTGCAGCATCGGTATTACATCAATCGGCGCATTTTTGGCGACTAAAAATTAGAATTATTGCTGCTGTGAATCTCGTTTGAACCTTTTGATTGATCAATGCATCAGATTCAATGTAATCTAACTTATTCATCTTATTCATCGAGCTATATTTCGCAATGTAGGAATAGGTTGGAAGAAAGCTAGGGGTATCCAAACCAAAATATGGCACCAAATCCATGCAGTCACTGACAACCTGGATTGAGTCATGTTGATAGGTGTTGACTACCTGGTTGGGGCCCGCAAGTTGATAATAATCGATGGGTCAGAGACCCTGAATGAGTTTATTTCACTAGATTCTACTTCTTGAATAATATCCTCGAACCTTAATCTCTCCGATTACTGCTAATATTTCTACTACCTCTACTACAATGGGATTTGAAGTGACGAGTGCGTGCGTCTCTGTGCTAATGTGGGATGATGGCGACTTGAACTATAATGTACGCATGTACGAAGTTCTACGTTGTAATTGAATGACTGACTTACTTGTCTTTAAATGTCACCACTGTTTATGTACGAACTAATGATAATGATAACAGTTGCCAAAACCCGTTAGTTAATAAGCTGAATGTAGTTCAAAGCTGTGACCTAATGAATGAAACTTGAATGCTCTAATCACTTACTATCCCTCTCTTGATTTTTTTTTTATTATTCATAAGTAGTTCAATGAAAATGGTCGCTTTTTTCTTCACATTTTGTTGAGTTATTGTAATGATGATGTATTTTTTTTATTTTACATACCTTATCTAGGGATTTTTATACAAACGAACCTGTAAACCATTGAGTAAAGAATGGAAAACTAAAAAGTATGTAACTTTAACCGATGATGCTCGCCTTACTTATCATCCAAGTATTCATGTAAGTTCCTTAACTATTTAATTGTTGTAAATAATTTTGTTCTCACATCGAGTCGATAATTTTATTGTTTTAGCCAACCAAGTATTGATTACTTTCTAGTTAGTCTATGAGTTACACTTACAAACTATTAAGGATTAAATTTACGGAGTTGCGCAACCTCATACCCTGTATACATCCGAACAGGTTTGAACTTCACTGGTCACGACTTCCCACTAGAACTCGGAGAAGATTCCTCACCAAGCTAGTCACTAGTGGACACATGTAATTGCATTGCGGGGTTGTTGTGAATATTGTTAAGTTTTATTTGTAACCATGAATCGATTAGCTAATCAAATAGAACTCTACCTGTAGCTCATTTTTAATGTTCAAGTGAATAATCAGAACAGTCCAATAGTTACCATTATAATTTTATTACTGACAATATTTTATTACATAAAATAGATGAATAGTGGCTGGCAATGAGATTTAGGATGCACGTTTCTTCTAATTTAGGATTCAGCTTCATATGTACCTGCTACATTTCATAGTTGATGTTCACTCTGGGATTCGAACCGAGTGCTGTTTGTTTCAAACACACAATCTCGTTGTCCATTTAACTATTGAGTCCAGATAGCCCTTAGCTTGTACAATGGGTGTACGATTTAATTCAACTTGAAATGGTTTGCCTTATCTCGTTGTTTATATTTTGTCTAAAACATAATCAATCTTGTTTTGAAAAATGGGCCATTTATTGCGGATTGCCTCAGCGGAATTTTAATCAGTTCCAACTTAGAACTTCGTACGTAAGTACATAAGTGCAGGTTGCCATACCACATTAGCGCGGAGACGCAATTGTCAGTTCAAATCCCATAGTGGTATGGAAAGTAGAAGTATTCGCAGTAATGGAGAAGATTTTAGGGTTCCAAGAAATTATTTAGGTGAAAATAATTTAGAAGGAAAAAGATAAATGTGATAAGGAACGTTAGATTTTGAGAGAACAAAAAGAATGAATGCAGCAACGCCATTGCAAACGATTTTGAGCCATGTCATTCAGGGTCCCTAACCATCGGTCACTATCATCTGGTGGACCCCAACCAGATAGTCTACATATACGGACATGACTCAGCCCATTTGTCAGTGACTTCATGGATTTGTTTCATGTTTTGGCTTGGCTGCCCCTAACTTTCTTCCAATCTACTCCTACACCACAAAACATGGCTTTTTGAGGCAGTCGGTGGTTGGGTATTTGTAACACATGTCCTAACTACATGAACTGATGAAGTTTCAATACTTTATCTATTGATCTGTCATCTCTACCTAGTACTCGTTTCCTAACAATAGCATTGCTTTCTCAGTTGTCCAAGAATACACGAGCAATGCTCCGAAGATATCTATAACTGAATGGTAATAACCTACTAATATCATCAACTCTTACCGGCCATGTTCCGCATCCATATTGTAGGACAGAACGAACTGCTACGCAGTACACTCGTCCATTTGTTAGCTAACGGGTATCTTGCCAACGCCATATGTGGCGCAAGTTAGCATAAGCCTATCGATCTTTCTGTATCCACCAGGCCATCGGCACTGATAGGATTCTCTAAATAAGTAAAGTGGTCAACACGATCAACTACTTCATTCCCTATCACTAGTTCAGGTACCGACGCAAGCCAAGGCAACATTTTGCATTGTGAGGGAGGGGGTACTCATTTGAACTGCAGTCAGTGGGAGCGTATGCAGATATGATGAAGAGACAACGATGAAACTATAATGGAGATTGGTAACTCTTTAAAATCCATAAATCGATGAAAAGATGATAGTACAAAGAGACTTATTACATCCTTGACACAGAAAAAGCCCATTTGTATCACTTTAGCGTTTAGAGGTGAGTCAAACAGCCGTATGTTATCGTCAGAACGTTCTGTGTAACGAAGGTTATTATCGTGAAAAAAAACAAGGTCCATACTTTATCAAAAACCTAAAAGGCATATAAACGATTGTATCCAATCACACTGCACTTATCAATTTAAATGTGTAGCTATACACACATGTGTAGAGATGAGTAATCGTGATTTGAAATTAGAGTTTTTGAGTCAGTCATTTGCATTGTAGAACTTGCTATGTACGTACATCACTCGAAGTTGCCATACCACATTAACACACCAGCCAAATCACACAGTAGTATGAAGGGTAATAATATAGAGGTAACGGGAAAGATTAGGGGACGAAGATGGAATCCGTGAAAATACAAACCAGTGAAACGGATTCGAAAAATAAAACATGAAGAATTCAGAAACTTTAAAAGAAGATGGAAAATGAATCCATTTGTGTCATTGCAAAAAATTATGTGCCATATCATTCACAGTCTCTATTCACTGGTTATGATTGTCGCTCGGACCTTAACCAAATAGTCTACACTTGTTAACATGGCTCAGTCATATTGTCAATGACATCATGGAACTGGTGCCATGTTTTGGCTTGGTTACCTCTAGTTTTTCTCCAGTCTATTGCTACACGAGACAGGATCGTTTGTCGAGGTAGTCGGTGGTAGAGCGTACCTAAAACATGTCCTGACCACCTTAATTAATGAAATTTCAATTGATTTGCTATCCTTATCTAGTACTCTATTCCTACCCCAAGCATTGCCTACTCAATGTTCGAATATGTACGTAAGTGATTACGAAAACATAAAACCAGTGGACCCAGTATGTCCTTCATTGCCAGTCAGTTACAACGTAGAACTTCGTACGTACTTACATCAGTTCAGGTCTCAATATCGTCCCCTATTGCCAAACACATAGTTGAAACACGTCATAAGATTGATCTTAACTTGGCTTTTGTGGTGTTTTATAAGGTTCATTGAAGCCTTGATCTAACAAAAAGTGTAGACCTTATTATATATTCAGAGATAGTTTGTCCTCATTCTAAACCTACCTTGGTAATACTGATTTACTATGCAGGGTGGTGAGTTTCTTATTCTTATTTCTTCTTATACTCCATATGGCTAGTTGACCTTATATTTTTTCATGCATAAATGTTCTTAACAAGTATATTTGTATTCAGATTGTTCGACATATATTATGTATTTTAGTACTTGTTCGTTACTTATTTACGCCCATTAACCCCAATGAAGCATAGGCCTCCGATAAGCCTTCTCCAGCCTACTCTGTCTTGGACATTTCTTTCTAGTTCTGTCTAACTGTTGTTCATTGTTCTCATGTCTGTCTTCATTTCTCGGCGTTAGGGTTACTGAAACTTCCAGGAGCCCAAGATCATGTGCAGCTCTGTAAATATCTTCATTTATCTATCCATAACCTAACCTTGGAATAAAGCATTCTTTTCGTAATTTACGTCTTTTATACACAAGATGCTATGTAGATTTAGTTTGAGGTTATTAGAAACGGCTAGGAAAAATCAAATCATGCATTCGTTGAATAGACTTATCAGTTTTACTTAGTAGTCTGTTTACGGGAAATAAAGTCATAAAGTGCTAGTGTCTTTTTTTCTAACCTCAGAAATTTATATCAACACTTAATGTTGCGTTTGTTCATTAACAATTACTTGAACTATTGTTGCTGTCATTGATACTGGGAACAAAGTCTCTATTTTAGGTTACTACACAGTTGTGTGTGTTGACATAGCCTCAGATAAGATTTTATCATCATTAGTTTTTTTCCTTTCGCTGGAAAAATAACATACATTTCGCTGTGTGTTCAGTTCATGAGAAAAATTTGATAGTTAACTGAGTAGGTGTCTTACTACCTGATATGTGTTTGTCAAATAGGTTGGGTTTACACATTGTGTTACTCACTTATTCTTACTCTTGTTACCCTAATGGGGCCACAAGCTGCCGACTAGCAGATTATTTTTTTCCGGTTAGTGTCTTTTTTTAGCAACCGTCATGTCCAACCCTTCCCTTTTATTCCGGTCTTGGGACCGGCAGTAACCCCACTAAGTCTGCAGATGGAGTTATATATATATCATTGTTGTAACAAAACAGAAAAATCCGAATCGAGTCAAAATTAGGAAAAAAACACGCTGTACATTTAATAATAAGTAAATAAATTTGTACCGAATGAATGGTATTTGTTGGGGATGTTAGATCCCTGAAACTCGCTTGTGAAATGCCTTATTTTGGATTTCACGCTTGCCAGCATGGGTTGATCAGTTGACCTTGAGATTTTATTTCCCACCAGGAAAATCCCTGGCTGTGATTGTGGCTGCTGTTAATTTTGTGTGCTATTTTAGTACTTTTCTAAGGACGTTTCTATGGTGTATAAATAATAAACGAGAGTTGTGTTCTTGATTGTATTTTGATTGCTTGGTGTTTGTAGAGTATAATTTCTACGCTTACAAAGCCTTTTTACTTCAGCTTGGGATTCAAGGTAGCCTATCTGGACGCTGGTTCATTGTCTCGTTCGCGTTTATCGACTAAGGTAAACTCGTAATAGCTTCAAGCGTACCTAGTGATGAATTCTACAGTATTCTTATAAACTGGTTCTGACATCACTAACAGTTTGTGCACAGTGTGATTTATTATCTTTGTAAACATATATACACTGTAATATCGGGTGAATCAGTTAGAAAAATAATCTGTTGATCACTTCATTGCATCATCAACTCTAATTATGATTCTTCTTATTGTTAATACTGCTACTACTACTACTACTACCGTATGTATCAATTATCATTCTGTGAGTAGTAGTACTATCGACGGAATACATATTCAGAAAAAAACAACATTCGTAACAATTCAACACAAACAGATCAAAATGGATCCGATAAAGTTTTTGAATTTTTTTTCCAAAGTTACATTGATTTTTTAACAGTAGTAGTAGTAACTTTAGTGAGATACCCATAAATTTCTATCAAGCTTTTGTCTCTGTTCCACATACATTTTGGATGATACCAAAAAGTCACTTTTCGTTTTATTATTATTTTTTTCTTCTTGATTAATTTTTATGCTAAAATAACTTTTTAGTTTTACAGTTAACTACTAGTAGTACATAAATCATTTCTTAAACAGACTTAGATATTGTATTTTTTTAGAAAAAAAACCAGAAACTTAATCAAACTAACAACTACAATGTTGTGAAAAGATGAAAAGTGTTTCGCGTGTAGAAATTCGGGGAAAAATTTAATTTAAATTTTACTGGAGGATCAAACTACTCCCAACATGAATGTAGGGTAACTTTAAGATTCTCTCTGAGGACTTCGTCACTTGGCACTGATATAAATCATAGTTTGCATCCAGAAGAAATCTTGTTTTATATTTCTCTGTTGATAGTTTTGTTATAATGCTGCTACTAATAGCTATTCAGTCCTAGCAGCGTCCAATTCAAATATTCCAATGCGACCCAAAATGCTATTTCCAAATCTCGTAGATATCAGAACGCAACACCGTTGGATGGAGTTGTTTATTGGGTCGAGTATAGAAGGGAGGTAGGCAGGAAGGAACGGAATCATGAAGTCTTACAGATAGTGCGTATTTATACATTTAGGTCGAATAGGAAAGAACATCGAAGTCTGTGACATTGACAGTTTAGGACGACCAATAAGAAACAACATTTGAAATGACATTGACAGACGGATCACCAATAAGAGACAACATTGAAGTATTTGACTTTGACAGTTAAAAGGACCATAGTTTTGACCAATAGAAATCGACCAATGGGATTATACTTCCAAAAATAGTACTCTTAGGATATTTGGTGATTATCCTTACAAGTTTCCAGAGTTTGTGGAAAGAAACTAAAAACATTGGAGAAAACGTATTTCAGTGATACAACTGACTCCTAAGACATTTTATTATCTTTGATTAATACACAATAACATTTCTACGTATATCTAGTGTTTAGTTTATAGGTCTGGTTTTCGGCTGCTGATGCTACACGTTTATGTATTTCATTTTGTACAAAACATTGTCTCATTGTCACATGGTCTAATTGTTTAGTCGAATACTTTAATTCCTCATCATGCATCAGCTATGTTTTGTGGTGTAGGAGTAGGTTGGAAGAAAGTTAGGGGTGGCCAGACCAAAACATGGCAGAAATCCATGAAGTCACTGACAAGTGGACTGAGTCATGTTGGTAGATGTAGGCTACCTGGTTGGAGTCATCGGGACGAAAGTCATCAATGGTTAGAGACATTGAGCAACATGGCTCAAAATCGTTTGCAATGGGGCAGGTGCATTCATTCTTTGTGTTCTTTTTAATTCTAACCTGAATTTCTCATCACCTCTATCTTTCTCTTTTTAAATTTATCTCACTGAATTATACTTATTGAATCATATCTTCGCTCCCTAATCTTCTCCATTACTGCTAATAATTCTACTTTTGCTATCACTGTTGGATTTGAACTGACAGTTACATCTCTGTGCTGACGTGGTATGGCAACCTGAACTGATGTACTTACGTACAAAATTCTGCCTTGTATCTGTCTGTCTGTCATCATGCATCAATTCGGTCATTAATATTTATTTTTCAAATTCTGTTCTACTGTTTAATTTCTCTGTGTGTATGTGTTTGTTCATTGCCTAGGATTATATGGACAATTCACATGGTAAAGAAATTGATTTAAGTAGAACAACTGTGAAAATTCCTGGTGTAGCATTTCGTCAAGTTGGTAGTAGTCGTATAACAAGTAATGGACTGTTACGAAGTCAATTAAATGATGCTGGTCAAGGTAAAGTATAAAATGTCAAATACTTATTTAGTGTATACCATTTTTTTCTTCTCCATATTTAAATTCAGAATTAGAAAGCCTCGAACAAGATGTTTTGTTCAAGTAATTTTTTTGTCATTTTTGGAATATCTTACTTTAATGACTTACTAAGTTGTTAGTTTGTTTGAAATATACTGTCAGTATATCTATTAGACATTTTTGATGAATAGTTATTTCAAAAATCGTCTTCCGTCGTATAAAATTTTTCAGGTAGACTACTGATACGACTCAGAATGAGAAGAGTCCATTCTCTATATATATACATAAATATGCTCTCACAGAGCCACGCATGTATGTAGCTACTGCTTAGAAGTTCCTACTTCCTTCTTGTGATGAGGAAGAAAAACGAATGTCCAACCAGGTTTGTGGGTTCGGAGCATTCACCAAGCGGCGTTGGGAAACCCTCATACCAAACGGATAGTGAACGTTTGATCCAGGATCCTGAGAGAAAGATGGCCTACCAACCTATTGTCGGTTACTAGGTGTCATGTTAGTCAGTCAGTCAGATGCAACGTAGGACTTCGTACGTATTTGCATAAGTTGCCATGCCACATTAGCACAGAGACGCAATTGTCAAATCAATTCCCATAGTGATAAAGATAGTAGAGGTATTAATGATAATGAAGAAGACTAGGGTTCGAAGATATTATTCAAGAAGTATGATTCAGTGAGAAAAGTTTAGAAAGTCAAAAGTAGAGGTGTTGAAGAATCCAGAAGATTAAGATGTCATGGGTGTCATGGGAGAATGGCCTCCTAAGAAAACTACCTGCACGGATTCTCGCATCCAAACAGTACCACAACCCACTCAGAAATTTGATAATTTATGTGGCGCATAAATATTTAGGTGTTCCTTTTTACCAGTAATTACGCGTTTAAATAAAAACTGTTAACAATTAAGTAACTCATTTTTCACTGAGTTTGTATTAAGGATAAGAAACTGTTCTATTTATAAATGCAATAAGAGTTATGAAAGTGAAACTGAAGGTTAGATATATAGGATCGATAATCATTAGCACAGAGAATACAGCTTATCAAAACCACTAAGCAGACCAGATATTTCAATCTAAGAAAACATATCAGATGATACAATCAGTTAATTATGAAATATCTACCGTTCTTTTGATTGTTTCCTTAGATTTCTCTAATTGTTTGCTTTGTGTTGCGGATGCTAGGTCCCCAGAAATCACTTAGTAAACTTCTTGTTTTTGTAATGTACTTTTGAAAATTTGAATTTCTCATTTTCGCACCAAAAGTGCCCATTAATACTTTCAGTTTGTGCTTCTCGCCTGAAAGGGTCTTAAAGGTCATTAGTTCGTTCCTTGTTTTGAGTACGCTACTCGGTGACGTTTTTTAAGGATATTTTCCCACTGTATATATTGCTCACATGTTGTTGAGTGTTTGTTATTCCTTCTTCTGGGATGCTTGTAGACTCCTTCCTTCTGTTAACTACACTGCGGCGCATAGGCACAGCTTAACTTCTTCTTGTCATTGTGTTGTTGCTTTTTGTACCTTCCGTTCGTTAGTACCTTGAACATCACACTTTGATAACATTTAATGATTATGATAGAACAGTGAGAAGACGTAATTGATCTGAAAAATGTGATGTATTTGCGCTATACATTTCGAACAATCTGGTCACACATATTTACTTGTCAAGGCATTTTATATGAAGATGAATAAAAGGTCAATTAAATAAAAGTTCAAATAGACATAGGGTGATAATTGTAAATAAAGGAGAGAGAAAATTAACGTAATATGAAAAGAATAAGAAGGGGTAGGAAAATTGTCACATTACCCTAGGCTTAAAGATTACCAAGGTAAATTCAAGGTTATGACAAATTGTTTCTGCACACATAAAGGGGGTTTTAATTTTCTAATAGCCAAGGCCTCCATAAACCTCAAAATTCGTCCTTCAACATTTCTATACAATGTTTTGAAGGCTGTCTTGATGTCAATCTTATGCCCTGTCTCAATTATGTGTTTGGCGATCGATGAACATGCGTGTCTAGTGCCAACGTTAATCGGCTGATCTGACGTTAACTGATTTTGAAGCCACTTAGGTACATGTTCCACAGCCCTTGAGTGCAAAGTCCGATTACTCCTCCCTATGTATGTGTGTCCACACAAACATGTAAATTGATAAATACAATGGGATGTGATGTAATCATTAGAGCAACGTTTAGGTATATGAGAAATCATGGACTTGGTCTTTTCAATGATAATCAGTTTAGCAGCGTTGTATGTTTTCTCTATGGCTGCTTTTAGTCTCTGTCTTATTATTAGACCATTTGCTTCACCTCTAAATGGTAAAGTGATATAAACCTTTTTCTTTTCAGCAGAATTTTTTTAATGATACGGCGACCACCGAGATCTACACCTATTGATAAACTTTAGCGGATAGCCATTTGAAATCAATGCTTCAGTTAAGAATTTCGCATCGTCGTCAAATGTATCCGTGGTGCAAATCCTTTGTGCCCTATTGAAGAGGCATTTTACTAAACCTCGCTTGTGTTGCAGTGGACAAAAACTGTTGAAATTTAGGTACTGTCCAGTCCACGTCGGCTTTCTATAAACAGAACCGCTTTATAGTTCCATTATCTCTTCGGCTCAACCATATGTCTAAGAAAGGCAACCGATTATTATTTTCTGGTTCATGACAATTATCAACACCTTATGTCTATTTGAACTTTGTATTTAATTGACCTTTTATTCATCTTCATATAAAATGCCTCGACAAGTTAATATGTATGACCAGATGGTTCGAAATGTATGAGGCGTGAATACATCATACTATTTTTCAGATCAGTTATGTCTTCTCACTGTTCTGTTTACTATGTGATTAACTGTAGCAGTAGTAGTAGTAGCAGTGTTCAATATGTTGTGTCAAATCTGCTGAACTATTGTCTTCTGTTTTATTTATTTAAAGAAATTTTATTTATTTTGTTTATCTTCTAATAAATAGATCGACGATCAACTGGAGTAGATGTGAAGAATCCAACGGAAAATTCCGCACCTCCTAATGATAATTCAGTATCAGGTTACAAAAGCATGATTTTTATTTGTTTCCATTTTTTCCAATAAAAAAAATTTTGCTACGTTTAATTTTTTTGAAAAATGTGTTACCGATTTTCAAGTTTTAATTTTCAATTTAATTTTAACTATTCACCAGTACTAAACGGTATAGAGTTAGTTTTATGTTGATTATACTATCACTATCAGTTCTGGTCATAGTTCAAATTAAGATGGAATTAGTGTCCTTGACTATCAGCTTGTTTTTGTGTAGTTGATAAATATTCTCGTTACAATTTTATTAGGTTGTATACTATCAGCAGGTTTCAGTGTTTTTTTTGAATCGTGTGTTATTTAACTCTACAATATTATCGTTTGAAATATTGTTGAACAGTCAGTAAGTTTGAGTTATTACTGCATGGTCTATTCCATCCAAATTGATCAGTGAGTCATAAACTATGTTGATTCTTACTAAAAAATTGTGTGTCAATGTAAGTTGTACACATTTCACATCAACATAAATAGTTAAATACTTGGGAATATTAGAAGGATGAAAGAAAAGAGTAATATTAACTAATATATTTGTCCAGTGATCAATCACTTTGAACTACCTCATTTCTCATAGGAGGTCTAGTAGTGGCTTAAATCGCTCAAAATGAAAAGCTGAACGACTCCGAATCAAATACACATGTTCTCTAGAGATTACAGGTACACCTTACTAGTGAGTTGTAGACAAACCTAGGTTCGGAGTTTCCTGTAACGGGTGCTAGGTAAGGATAGCAGATCTATAGATGAAGTATTGAAACTTCATCAGTTGAGGTAGTTAGGTCATGTGTTACAAATACCCAACCACCGACTGCCTCGACGAGCTATGTTTTGTGGTGTAGGAGTAGGTTGGAAGATAGTTAGGGGCGGCCAGACCGAAACATGGCAGAAATCCATGAAGTCACTGACTAGTGGACTGAGTCATGTTGGTAGATGTAGGCTATCTGGTTGAGGTCCGCGAGATGAATGTTACCAATGGTTAGAGACCTTGAATGACATGGCTCAAAATCGTTTGCAATGGCGCAACTGCATCCATTTGTTGTGCTCTCTCAAATCCTAATCTTCTGGATTCGTCAGCACCTCTACCTTTGTCTTTCTAAACTTATCTCACTGAATTATACTTCTTGAATAATATCTTCAAACCCTAGTCTTCTTTATTAACATTAATACCTCTACTATCTTTATCACTATGCGATTTGATTTGACATTTGCGTCTCTGTGCTAATGTGGTATGGCAAACTGAACTTATGTACATACGTACGAAGTTCTACGTTGCAACTTACTATAACTATCCAATAACTGAACATGAAACGGCTTTTTTAAAAAGTAATCGATAATGTAAGAAAGTTCTTAGTGATGTAAAGGGAATTGGTGAATATACACAACAACTCTTCAACTTTTGATGTTGATTCTTCTACATATCCCCAAGTTGATTGTTTGCATTTACTAACTCGTTTTAATTTCATTAGTGGTTAACTTCTTTACAGGCTGACGAATGATACATTGTCTTTGCCGTTAGTACTTTTCAAAACTATCCATGAATTGTTAACTGACTATGGAAACTATAAAACAAACATTATCATACATTCATTGTGTTTTAACACCTAATTTTAATTCACAACACCACTGTTTTGCATTGAATAATAATATCACATGTTTGTTTCAATTGACGTAGCCATTCTTTTTTTTTTACAATGAATTAAAAAATATGTAACAATTGTCTTTTAAGATGATGAAAATGACCAAAATGTAAATTGTTGCATGAATATAAAATTAACCTGATCAAGTACATTTACTTATATAGAACTAACTAACTAACTGATCATGAAACAGTGTGTTGTGTTTTTCACACTTTCAATGATATACTTCTTAATTTATACATTTTTCATTTATATTGCATAACTGGTATTATTTATCAGATTATAAATTCTGTTAAGTCTGTTAAGTGCTAGTTGTTTTTTCTTTCTTTTTAACAAGTGCTTTTGAAACAACAACTATTATCATAGAAATCAACTAGATGCGATGATTATATGTTTTGTCAATCTTTAATTGATTACTTACTTACGCCTGTTACCCCCCCCGCCATTGGAGCATAGGCCGCCGACCAGTATTCTTCAACCTACTCTGTCCTGGGCTTCCCTTCGCAGTTCTGCCCAATTTTTGTTCATTCCTCTCATGTCTACTATCTCCACTTCTTGGCGTTCCCCTTTTCCTTTTACGTTGAGGGTTTCAAGTGAGGGCTTGTCTTGTGACGCAGTTGGATGCTTTTCTCATTGTGCGTCCTATCCACTTCCATCGCTTCTTTCTTATTTCTTCCTCCCCATGGACTGTGGTTTGTTCGCTTCATAATTATTGTGTGCTTACTACAAAATAATATTATCACATTTCTTTTAACAAGCTTAGAGAGATAAATAGTAAACAGAATGCATCATGAAAGTAAAACGAAACAAAGCCGATATTTTCTTCCCTTAAATCATATAAGTGTATCTGTAACACTGTCTTATTTTAGATAATATCTAATATTTCCTAGTGACTTTCCGGTTCTTAGATTGCAAATACTCAATGTCATTTTCGTAGTTTTCGAATATCAACGAATATTCCTTTCCTTTATTTTGGACTTTGTCTATGTAGTCAAAGTTGTTTAATGAGAATTGAATATGAGGTACACTTGTTCTGTGTTCTCTCTCTCTCTCTCTCTCTCTCTCTCTGTGAATTTTTAGCTATTGTCAGTTGATATTGAATTAGAAAAATTTACATTTACCGCGATCAAATAACGAATTGTTTATTTGTTTAAACAATGTTTCTATTTATTTTCTCTGTTTACCGATTTTCTTCCATTTTTCCGTAACCCCCTTGTTTATTGTGCATTAGTTTCTGATACGTTTATTTCCATTACTGTTGGCAGTAGTGGTAGTAGTAATTACTTACGCCTGTTTCTCGTCCCCATTGGAGCAGTGGCCGCCCACCAGTTTCTCCAACCAACTCTGTCCTGGGCTTCCCTTACCAGTTCTGTCCAATTTTTGTTCATTCTTCCCATATCTTTCTCTATTTCTCGGCGCAATATGTTCCTTGACATTCCTCTTTTCCTTTTGTTTTGAGGATTCCAAGAGAGGGCGTGTCTTGTGATACAGTTGGATGCTTTTCGCAGTGTGTATCCTATCCACTTCCACTGCTTTTTCCTGATTTCCTCCTCTGCTGTAATGTAGTTTGTTCTTTCCCACAGTAGGTGGTACTGATAGTGTCTGGCCAATGAATCCGTATTTTACGTAGACAACTGTTAATAAACACTTGAATCTTCTGGATGATGGCTTTCGTAGTTCTCCAAGTTTCCGTTCCATACAGTAGAACTGTCTTTACATTTGTATTGAAAATCCTGATTTTGGTGTTGATTGATATTTGTTTGGTATTCCTGTAGACCCTTTGGGGCCATTGCCGGTCTCAAGCCCCGGGTAATGGAGGAAGATTGAGCATGGGATTGGCGACCCCATCCCAACAAAAAACTAACTCGCTTAAAAAACGCTAGCCAGAACAACTGGTGGTAGTAGTAGCAGTAGTAGTAGTAATAGTAGTAATAATATTTATACGTAAATCACTTTCTAATTGATATATCAGTAACATATTCCACCCTAATTTTTTATTTACATAATTGACACATGCAGTTTTATTTCATCGGTTTGTTTTCCTTTCTTTTCTACACCACTTTATCCCCTATGCTGTCCCAATTGTTCATTCGCTACATTTTCTACATGGAATTAATTATCAATACTTGTGAAAATGGATTCGTTCTGTTTTTTCAAAAATAAAACATGCAAAACAACACACACTGGTCTTGTATATTTCTACGCTTATTTAATTAAAGTAAGTAAACTATACTTGGAAATAAAAATGTGTTACAGTTTTCTCTTTTTTTTCTCTCTCTCTCTCAACGTTTCATTTAAAAGTTTGTGCCAATCAAAACAGACAGTAGTAATCAAATGAATTTTATCAGTTGAAATGTTTGCGTATAGAATGTGTTCTGATATGTCGTCGGTCGATAATATTATCATTTATGCAACAGAATAATATTTTATGGGGACATATAGAAAATATATGTAGTCTAGCTGATCAGTTCACAGTGCAGAGAGAGAATAGGCTTTGAACTTGTGTCGCATAGAATTTAAAAGCTAATTTTCTTTAACCAGTGTTTTTTTTTGCTGAGATTTAATAGATAATTATTGATTTGCAGTGTTGAACCCAAAACAATTCTATTTATATACTGATTTAATTGACTTTTGAGGATTTACCATTTTATGTAGTTGTTTGGCTAACCCGTAATTAGTATGTTACTGAAATAATGAGTCGATCAATGTTAGGGCGACACTGGAAACCTGAAAGCACTGGAAGGTCGTTTAGCCATAGTATTGAGACTCATCAGCAGTCCACATCCTCGAACTCGTGAGGTTAAATCGAACCCAAGACTTTCAGTCTCACGAATGAACGCTTAACCTCTTGACTTTTGAGACCATATCTGATGGTATTAATGTCTAACTTCAATTGATACATGGTATTTCATGACCTCCTCCATTGTCTACAGTGATTATCTGCCTCACATCCGACATGGGTGAACTACATTGGTCACATCTCATTAAAATTCTGTCACAAATCTAGTCATTAGTAAACACATGAAAAAAAATAGAATTTTCTTTGTAATACTGCTATTGTTATCTCCCACGATTGATCACAGTTCTTTGTAAGTAGTGCCGATTTCCTCGCAGTTTATAATTAATTGGCTTAGAATGATGAAGGCTAGTATCAAATCTGTTGTAGTTTTCTATTTGATTTTGTATAAAAAAACTTTATCTTGGTTGTATTTTCTAGTTGAAGTGTATTTTGCATACAGAACTATTCTTAGCCTTTTTTTTCAATTTAGTGTATTGCTTTACTCTCTCTCTGTTCATAGTATCATAATTGTAGTTTTTGTATAGCTTTTTTTAGGGCGTTTTTTTGTGAATAAAAAGTGTAATTAACTGAAACTTCATATTGTTTTTATAGATTGTGTATTTGACATGGCTTTGTTATGTATATTGGTTTATTATTATTTCGTTCACTAGGAGTAGTGAGCTTTCTAGAGTTAATCCACAAGTATTAAATCAGTTCATGCTCTTTTGTTTCTATGATTGCGTTTCCATAGTTTTTGTCGTCCTTAGCATTCACTTTGACTGTCTATATTGACTGACCTCTTCCCAATAGGTTTTTAGATTGAGTTCATTTTGATGTACCGTACGAATGCTATGCTTCTAAGAAACTCTTTGGGATTTATCAGGTTTCCGCACACGACCGTAGCTGCTACCTTGACGTGGTGGTCGGGCTTGTCTATCGTGATAACTCAACTGAGCTATCTTGGTTGTAACATATGCTCCTTTAGGTCCTACCATGCCAGGCAGGTCGATTGGAGAAGGGTAATACTTAAACCACCAACTTAAGGTATGCGGGCAAAGTCGTACTGCTGACTTTATAATGTGTTTCTCTCAGATAACCAACATCTGCAGCGATACCACCTCTGATCAAAAGGAAGGGGTTAGAAAAAATCAACCCTAAAATTTCAGACCCTCTCCTTTCTCTTGCTGTAAGACTATGTGAACAGCGGAGCTACTACGTTAAAAACTCCCCACAAACTGACCGTGCGCGACTGACCCCAAAAAACCGTTCTTCGGCTATGCAGTCACACTGGTAATTCGCTAACACCAACACTAATCCAACATCATTTTCAGGCTTCTCAAGTAACATCCTTTCACTATAAGTGCAGCCGAGAACTAACATCCATCGCCATACACATATCAGCTCTCGAGATCAACTCGTTCATAATCAAATCCTTCCTACACCTCTTAATAACTCTTACCTCCACGACTAACCCTTCTCGCATACCATTATCACCTCGCGCTGCTGATGCAGAAGACCTGTATACGCGTGACGTTATTCGTGGTCTCCTGAAACCCCGCTCTAAACTACATGTCAGAGCTCTCAATGTTCGAACGTTGTGCACAACATGCTTCCTTAGTTAGGACTTAAGAATCTCAAGCCATCGATCTATGCTGCATCTCCGAAACGCATATACAGGATCCGAGCGGAATCATGAATTTGACGTCATCTTATTTTGATGAAGAACCAAATCTATTTACTCGCTGCTGGGATTAATGCTAATTCTCAATCCAGGAAATTAGATGGGCAGAAATTTTTAGGAAGTAGTTCAACTTGTCTTCGGCCAAACATCGGTTACCAGCAATTTCCAGTCAACCTGTAACGCAACTCGATGTGTATCCTCCGGCTCTTTATGAATTAGAGAAAGCGATAGGAAATGTGAAGCGAGGGCGAGCCTCAGGGCCTGACAGGCTCACCCCAAAGGTTTTTAAGGATGGTGGTCCAGTTTTAGCAATTAGGTTGACTGAGATCTTAGGTAGAATTTGGTAGCTGGGCGTAATCCCACCTGACCTGTTTCAATCACTGATTGTTCTAGTCTCTGAAAAAGGACAAACGTCCTCTTGTGACAATCACACATGAGTCAGTTTGATGAATATAGTGTATAAGATATTGGCTTCAATAATACTGGGACGCCTAATTATAGCTCATGTAGAGCATCCTCGAGAAAACCAGGTTGGTTTCAGACCTGGACGTGGCTGTATAGACCACACATTCACACATCAACAGGTCCCAGAACAGACACACATACAGATGTCGGAAAATAGTTGTATTCCCCAACCTTAAGGTGGCATTCGAATCTGTTGATCGTGTGGTTCTGTGGCAGTGTCTGTCTTTGAAAGGAGTACCACAGAAGTACACTGACGTTTTACTATTTCTTTACAGATTCCCATTGTGAAAATTATATGTGTTATTTCTTTACAATTTCAAATATCGTTTTATTTCTTGAATAATAAAAGAAAAGTAGTTTTTATTTAAACAGACTTCACAAATTTCTTATCGTAATAATTCACTTTTAATTCATTTTTCTTCAGTTTAACTCCTGCTATTTGTTGGGAAAATTTCTAACAGGAGGTAAAGATTCATCATCTGTGAAAAAACGTCATCGACGTATTAAATCCAATCCAAAGAGTAATAATGCTGATGGTTCAGGTAATTTAATTATTTTATTCATTAACAATTTTCTGATTGTTATCATTATCGATAATATTGTTGTTTCGCCTCAAAGTTGGTTGTTTCTAATTAGTTGTGGTTATATTCTTATATTCCCATAATTTACTTTAATTTAAGTAGTCAGTATGAAATTAATCTTGACTTACTACTGTATTGACTACTTCAACATGACAGATTAATTAGTGCTATGGTTATATATATACACTTGCCATACTGCTGCCTTGTTCTCTCTCTCGTTTCTCCTTTTCAGAAACCCATTCACGCCGTGAAATCCTTGACGACTCTAGGGAACATGCACCCTATGTAAATGACTATCTGGATCACAGCTCGTATCAAGTACGTTCCAATTGACCTTCTCCAACAAATTCACTATTGGTCTCGGCAAACCGCCAGAAGAACCTATTATGCACCTTACTTCCTTATTTGTACTCTACTATTGAAAATGTGGCTGTATAATACTGTTTCTGTCAGTGACATGGTATAAATATGCTATCAGGAACTAACTCTTATACTTAATTTAACTGCTATAAATTTAATAGTAACTGTGGAAACATTTGTGACAGTTTGATCTAGCCTGTAAACTGGCGTGACGCTTGTAACGTAGTTATTTTAGAATATATACATAATAATTATTATTATTACTTTATTCTCGTCCAGATCTTCAGGCTTGTAGCTGTATATTATTTTCAGATCATCAGCATATAAGTATGTTGTACCTGATCTTATCATTTATGTACATAAGAAACAAGGGTGAATCTTATACATTTCCCTGGATAACCCCACTGGTTATTGATCTTGGTAATGAAAAACAATCGTTGCACTAAGACATTTGTTGAAGCAAACCATGAATTTAGTGGGTTACTGAGAAGGAGAAGCCTTTTGTGTTTGACCTTATTAAATGCCTCCTTAACGTCGATGCAAAGGATTGGTACTAGAAGCTCTTTGTATTGTTTAAACATGATATCATTGAAATAATCTATAGCATGTGTCACACGACCGAGACCTCAGTCATTGAGCGATTAGAAATAAATGAAATTAAATTTGCTCTCATATTGCCTTTATTTTGAATAAGGCTTTATTGACCCTGAGGGCATAACATGTACGTCTCAGTTGTACATATGTGCTCATTTCAAGAAAGTCAGTGTAAAAATGAGTACCACTGACTTGTATACCTTCATTTCCACTAGAAACCTGAATTACATCTTCAGTCCTCGAAAAAGTAGGTCGTTTCGCAGAAACTTACTAACTGTAGCTCGTCAAATCAAAAGACAACACCAGTCAGAAAGCATACTAGGAACACCGTACCATAAATGAAAGAAAATGTAATAACTTGTATTTATTTGACGAGTAGTAATTAAGGAATTGTGAGACTGATAACAATAATAATTCAAAAATTTTAAAGAAGCTTACAATACTACCAACAAAGAGAAACAATTATGCATCGATAATATAAACAAATATACAAAAAGAGAATCTCTGAATCAAAAACAAGTGTTTTGTTATTCGAAGGAGAAAGTAATAATGTCTTATGATCAAAATAATATAATGGAGTTCCTTTGAAATCTTAATAACATATTAGAAATATCAGTATTGATACTGTTTGAAATCAATCGAAGATAAAATATCTTAACGCATGATCAGATTGAAGGAAAGTTATCCATTGTATTCTACCTAATATAATATGACTGAGTTACAGGTTACATCAGATAATGAGAAAGTATAAGTCCAAGCAGATTTCAGCATTAGTGACATTGGAAAGATGATATAATTCGTTGCTAGGTGATGGTAGAAATTAAGGGAATTCAACAGGTTCAACACGCCTGACATATTTAGTTCTGGTACCACTAGTAACAACCGAATACGTCAGGAAGAGTTAAATATATTTTAGAAAACTTTATTCTTTCTGATTTAGGAAAGATAATGAATAAGGTTTCGAATTAACGAAAGTGCTTTTCAGAATTTTCTACGCTTTAGATAAATAAGAGAGAAAACAATGTAGTGCAATATTATATTTCTAAATGTATTCACTGTATTCTAATTAATAAATTGATCGGAAATAACAGCTCATTTCAGATACCGTAAACTCCTGTTTTTACCAAATCTTCAATTCTCTCCGTGGTTATAGATTGTTGTAACGGTTGCATACGATATTTCCAGGCTTAATCTTATTGCTTAGTATTCTTGACACAAAACACTTGACAAGTAACACAAATCAAAACACCGTTGAACAGGTTGAACAGCAGCAATAATAGAGTCTTCCAAGCATCATCTTGTTTACCGAATTCAATTCTAAATGTATCTTCCCAACGTTTGAACCACGTCAGAAAAGTATTTCCACATTCAGGATTATAGACGAATTCTGGTATGCTGTTAGCCACTGCTTCACAAGACGTATTTGAAACAGTATGTGGACTCGAACACTGGATGTTGAGCTGTTGAGTTAGGGTCTCCAACAACCGCATTTGTGCATCTAATTGTGCTTGCTGTTGTTGTAGTATTCGGTTAGGCTGATCATCTGAAATAGGCATCTTGAAATTTTTTTCCTTTTTATCCGTCGCCCATGTTGTTACGGTTGCTTACGATATTTCCCGGCTAAATCTTATTGCTTAGTATTCTTGACACAAAACACTGGACAAGTAACACAAATCAAAACACGGTTGAACAGGAAGGATTGTATTCCGAAATAGCAAGGAAAACAAGCTGGAGGTGATGGCGAAAGTCAAGGCAAAAACGCTTGAAAGCGAAGAAGGCTAGAAGGCCAAGATAAATACAATGCTAGTCTATTTATAGCCTCTACATGAGAAAACTTCTGGAAGAAAATTCACGTGATCGACTGGACTGGATTTGACCAATCAGCATGCAGCTAATAATACGAGAATTTTCTATCCTGTTCTCCAAGCTTCGATCAGGCGCTGATTGGATAGGAAATTAGCCAATCAGCGCGTAGTGACGTAATCACGATAGGCTGCAGACACTGTTAATGGGTAAATCCATTATTCCCAGTTTTTCTAGCATATCTAGACCAAGAAGATCAAGGTTTGGCCGTTCTGTCAGATAGCATATTCCTGTACATTTATTTCCGTTGAAGGAAAATTTACACTGGAATTCACCAACCAGTTTTAATGCACCACCTGAAGCGCTTTCAGCTGTTTACTTAGATGGCTTCATTGGCGGTTTTCCCAGCATGTTGTACGTTTCTCCAGACATTAGGGTGATATCTGATGCCGTGTCGATTTGGAAACGAGCTGATGCACTGTTCACCTGGATAGTAACATACTTTCTCCGAACGTCATATTCTGTTTGAAAAGCAGCTACGAGAGAAAGTGATTTAGACTCAGCTGATTTCACCACATGTCGAGTACGTTTGCGCTTCTTCTTGGGCTGAGACGTACGATCTGGTTGGCAATGGCCTTCTTTATGTTCACGTTTAAGGCACATCTGACATTTATGTTTTTTATATGGACAAAATCGTACGTAGTGCCAATCACCACATAACCAACATGCCGTCGTTGGTTTGTTACGAGATGCTATCGGCTTCTGGACTTTTAACCTAGTAATAGCATTGACACTACTGCTGGTTAAATTGTGATTTACCTGTTCAATCAACATGTTGTCGTGCCTGATACTTTGTAGGCGTTTACACTCATCTGTCAATGCTGTGAGTGTGACGTTAGGGTCTTGGTCCATTCGAATCAAAAGTCTAGTGCTGGTTTCCGCATCTTGCGGTGACTGAAGAGCTTTGATGAATATTAAGCATTTAAATTGGTCTTCCGTCAACGAGCGTAACCTGAACCGTTCACATTCTCTGTTGACGACGTCTGCAAGAACCGCATATTCATCATCTTCGTGTTTCACCAGATTTAGACAATGATATCTAAAACTAAACAATGATGCTGATTCGCCGAAAATATCTGACAGCTGAGTTACTGTCTCCTCGAAACTGAGCTCTCGAGGTAACTTCGGTAAAATGTGGTCAGCGTAACGTTCATACTCATTGCTTCCCAACTTACGCAGCAACAATAGAGTCTTCCAAGCATCATCTTGTTTACCGAATTCAATTCTAAATGTATCTTCCCAACGTTTGAACCACGTCAGAAAAGTATTTCCACATTCAGGATTATAGACGAATTCTGGTATGCTGTTAGCCACTGCTTCACAAGACGTATTTGAAACAGTATGTGGACTCGAACACTGGATGTTGAGCTGTTGAGTTAGGGTCTCCAACAACCGCATTTGTGCATCTAATTGTGCTTGCTGTTGTTGTAGTATTCGGTTAAGCTGATCATCTGAAATAGGCATCTTGAAATTTTTTTCCTTTTTATCCGTCGCCCATGTTGTTACGGTTGCTTACGATATTTCCCGGCTAAATCTTATTGCTTAGTATTCTTGACACAAAACACTGGACAAGTAACACAAATCAAAACACGGTTGAACAGGAAGGATTGTATTCCGAAATAGCAAGGAAAACAAGCTGGAGGTGATGGCGAAAGTCAAGGCAAAAAAGCTTGAGAGCGAAGAAGGCTAGAAGGCCAAGATAAATACAATGCTAGTCTATTTATAGCCTCTACATGAGAAAACTTCTGGAAGAAAATTCACGTGATCGACTGGACTGGATTTGACCAATCAGCATGCAGCTAATAATACGAGAATTTTCTATCCTGTTCTCCAAGCTTCGATCAGGCGCTGATTGGATAGGAAATTAGCCAATCAGCGCGTAGTGACGTAATCACGATAGGCTGCAGACACTGTTAATGGGTAAATCCATTATTCCCAGTTTTTCTAGCATATCTAGACCAAGAAGATCAAGGTTTGGCCGTTCTGTCAGATAGCATATTCCTGTACATTTATTTCCGTTGAAGGAAAATTTACACTGGAATTCACCAACCAGTTTTAATGCACCACCTGAAGCGCTTTCAGCTGTTTACTTAGATGGCTTCATTGGCGGTTTTCCCAGCATGTTGTACGTTTCTCCAGACATT